ATTGTTATTTTATAAATATATTTCTTATTTGTTGTAGTTGATAACAATGGTCATCAGAGGATTAGAGGCCGGATAACTTTGAAGAATTATTTGCACTAACTCCTAACGAGCCTATTGTAGTATCTACAAACTCTGATAGGCAATCAATTGGTGAAGAGGCTCAACTATTGGCTGAATTTCTAGGCATTGTAGCCCGTAATGGAATGAAATTGCATATTCATTATGAAACATGGCATAAAGTTCCAGAAGAAGTTAAGGTCGATGCATTAAACTTTATTGAGATATTAGTATAATTAATTAGATATAAAATTTTTTTATTTTACATATTGTTTACTGATTCTAACTTTTCTTATTGTATTATTACAGTCAAAATTTGTACTTGAAATACGAACTTCATTTGTGCTTAAGTCATTGGGAAAGAAATAGAAAGATTATAAGCATAGTTTGAAGAATAAGTATTTTGATCAAAATACTACTATAGAGGTGATGATGGAAAATCTACTCCGTAATGTGATTAGGTGGTAATATGAATAACTGGTTAGATTTTGGTTCTCAAGAAAATGAGAGGTATTAGTTTATAACTTTGTATAGTAGAATGAAATGATGAAAGTGTTTTATGGTTTAAGTTGATAATATTTGTATTTCTATCATATACGCAATTATTTTTTATGACAGGAAAGAGAACAAATTGGGATTGGTAGCATAAAGCAATAGAAATATAGCCACACAAGTGGATCAAAAAGTTTTGCAAGAAAGCAAAAAGAAATCATAAGTTTATGATAACAAACGTATTCCAATGAATGAACTTTTTCAACCATTAAAAGGTAAATATACAATTAACAACAATTATTGTTCTGTTTTAATAGTTTTGATAGTTTCAATACATGATATTAAACTTATTGAAAGTTTTGAACTTAATTGACACAGATGATATGTATGAAAAGTTATTGTTTATGTATATTTACGCCTTTAATACAAATTTGTTATAATTGTTGTATTTTAATACTTTGGATAGCTTTAATACTTGATATTAAACTTGTTTGATTGATTGAACTTGGTTTCTATGGTTGATATGGGAGAAAAAGTTGTCGTTTATGTTTGTTCGAGAGTATTTTTGCATATAAAAGGCAAATATACAAATTAAACTTTTTGATGGCTTTCAACATATTGAATGGCTTCAATCCTTGATATTAAACTAGGAGAAAATAATTGAATTTGGTTTTCATGATCGATATGTGTGAAAGCCCAAAATGATTTTATTGTTTGCATATGTTTAAGACTATTGTGTTGTTATAAGGCCAAAATATAAATACAAGAGATTAAAATTATTCAAAAATTTAATACTTGATTGACAGGCTAGATATGCATGAATAAGTTATGATTGATATGTATCATATTAAATAATATATGTTTTTGTATAAGAGAATGAGATGGGTGGTACAATTGGACGTGTGAAACTTTTTCGCATAACACATACAAAAAAAGATGGATCTTACATGAATGTCGAAACATAAGAAATTGTGATAATTTATATCATCTATTTTAATAGAAAATAAATATTTACTCTTTTTAACATATAATCAATTAATCATTAAACTTGATAGTTGTATATGACAAATTCACACGAGAAAATGAAAGAGAAAATGACTGCTAAGATTGAAGTAGCATCTGATGATTCTCTCAACATGCAAAAAATAAAAAATAGATATTCATAGAAGTTGTTAGAAAAGAAAGGCATGGACGGGTCCGAGGCCTTGGATTGGGTCCAACACCATCTACCTACTATGGACATAACTCTTCGCAATTCATATTCTCGGCAAGTTAGTCTTCATGAGACATTTCAATATTGAGAGGGGAGTTACAAATTATACAACAACGTTTTCAGCAAATGAAAACAGAAAGAGAATATGAGCGTACCAAAATTGAGGAAGAACGTCCTAGAATGGAGCAAGAGCATGCTAAGTTTCAGTAGTTGCATAATCGATTCGATCATTTTATGAATTTTGTGCAACAACAATTTGCAGGAAATGATCTTGGTGCTCCACCAACTCAGGTATTATATTTAGTATATATTTAAATTTTTAAATATATAAAAAGCTTACAATGAAGTGTTAAAAATTATATGGTATTTTTCAGTAGGTTCTTGAGCACGCTAGTGACCAAAATGAAAAATTTTCGTCATCAATTGGCAGCCAGCAAAATGTATGTAGTCATCAATTTCATACATTTTAATTTTTTATTTTGTTAATGTATATAAAATATTTGAATGTTATTATACTAATTATTAAACTTTGTATTAATTAGATGTATATTTAAACGTGAATGAAGTTAATATAAATTTTTAGTTTATGAATTTAAGCTCTTTAATGAAAATAAAATTTATTTAATTTAGAAAATAATAAATTTTTACATAATGATGGCATTTGCGTTCGTTGTAGGTCGCTAAATGAATAATTAAGTGGCATTTGTAGCATAAAACGCCACTATAAGTAGTGATGCTCTTACCAACAAATGCCGCTTGTTAAGTGGCATTTTTCTCATAAAAGTGCCATTAAAGTAACGGTGTTTTTCTCATAAAAATGCCATTGAATTAGCTGCGACTAAAAGATACAAATACCATTAATATAGAGACATTTTTAGATTCAAACGCCTCTAAAGTAGCAGCGTTTTCAGTTATAAACGCCACCAAAGCAATGACATTTTTCCTCATAAAAACACCATTAATTTAACGACATCTCAAAGATAGAAATGCCGCTAAAATGACAGTGTTTCAAATATAAACGTTGCTAATTTTAAGGCCTTTTTTCAAAAACGCCACTATTTACTGCAACGTGTGAATAGTCGGCACTTTGCGTGGCATTTTTCGCAAATGCCGTAAATCTTTTTATGACATTTATAAACGCCGCTAAACGTTAAAAAAAATGCCACTAAAAACCAAAACCCTTGTAGTGCTTTTTATTTGAGTTAATTACTTTTCACTTTTTGAATTTGGGTTTTGAATGTTGCAATGAATCAAATTGAAAATGTGTTTAATTAAAAAAAATTTTGTGTTTGAGCTTGATGGAAATGCATATCCTTTTTATTTCAAAATGGACCGATATGAATATCTATATATCTTTGAAAACATATGGATATGCATATCTATTCATTTTTTAAACTAGATGGATAAGCATATCTATGTGCTTTCAAAGGTAGATGAATATCAATGTTCGTTCGGGTACATCAAAAAGAATTGAAGAAGGATTAAAAAGTAATTCTAGTAAAGTTAATTAAGTCATTTACTTTAAAAGTATTTTTGTCATAACTTTTTTTTATTATAAAGAGCAAAAACTTGACTGCATATATAGAATTTCACGTTAGTGTGAAACCCATCATAAATGTAAAATAGGTCAAGTCATATTTTGATTAACTATCATGCATAGTAAAATTAAGGGTTAATATTATGAATGATTTATAAGTTTAGTAAAGTATTTAATACAGTATTTGAATTTTAAAAGTTTTTAATATGGTATTTAAACTATAAATATGTTAATTAATGTGATATTTAAAAGGTTGCTTATTTAATATGTCATTATTTAATGCTAATCTAGAGGTGAGTGCTATAATAGTTACAAATTCATAGTTTAGATGCCAAATTAAAAAATTTTAAAATTCAAATATTACATAAAACATTTTACTATAGTTCATTTATGACATTAACCTAAAATGATTGGTGAATTCTAAATGCACTTATGTTTTCGCTCTATACACCTCATTTTTTTTTAAAATTTTTTTGTAAGCGAAATTATTAAAATACCACTCTTACAAATTTTATAACTTTTGAAAATACATTTTCAAGATATCATAACACATCTTTGAAATTCATTTTTGAGAATTCAAATACTTCTCGAAAATACATTTTCGAGAGTGTTGGAATTGAAATTTAATGAAATATTAAAAAAAAGAGAAAATTTTGTTAAAATTATTTGTAAATAAGTGTAATGAAAAAAGTTATTATTAAGAAATCATAATTTTAAAATTTATAAAAAATTACTTTTATTATTTTCATCTTAGAAAAAGAATAATATCTTATGAGACCTTAATTAAATTAAAGATAAATTAATAAATACATTTTTTTATAAATTTAATTTATTATTTTTAGTAAATATTTTTTATCAATTATTAAAATTTTATAATGGTTTTAATTAAATTGAACTCTTTAGAGAAGTTTCTCCATCTACTTATTACAATGAGTTTTTTCAATTAGCATATTATATTTTAACAAAATTATATAGTATTCAATAATATTATTTATACTATCTCTTTATTCATAAGCTTGCAATGCTAGTTAAGAAAAATTTTAATTTCGAATTAGTTCGAATTCTTTCAATACCCTTCCTATTAGTTCTCAAATTCGTATGAGGTTGAAGATATGGCAATGGGGATTTTGTAGCATTTTAACAAAATTATGTAATATTCAATAGTGTTTCTTATATAATTTTAAGAAGTTTCAATTTTTATATGTTGATTGGACCTAATAATTTTTCATCATCATTTATAATATCACGAGATAAAATATTTAATTAAAATTTCATAAGATTTTATTTTTTAAAATTAAAATAGTAAAAATAATTATTTACTAATTTTAAAATTTATGATTTTTATTAATAATTTTTTTATTATTCTAATTTATAAATAATTTTAACAAAATTTCCTTTGTTGTAATTTTTCATAAAATAAAAAAATATTTTTAAGAAGTATTATGATTTTTAAAAAACTATGGATATTTGAAAACTTGTAAAAAATATTTAAATAATTTTATTTATAAAATTTTTTTAAAAACAATTAGATATATTTAGTAAAAAAATGAGGTGTATTTAGTTCTGTCCAAAATTATTTAGTGTAATTAAAGTGGATAAAAAAATGTATCCGACAAAAAACAAAGGGCCAAGCCAGTTAATCAAGTGTCAAATCTCAGACAAAAAAGGCAGGCACTGTGGGATGGGACCCACCTATTTAAACCCCACCTTCCTCTGTCATGTTCAACAACACAAAGATCAAAATCAAACTCAGAATACCAAAAGAGAAAAAAAAGAAAAAAAATTGCATTCATTCTTCCAAGTTCGAACACCGGCGGCGAATCTCTTCTCTGTTTACTGGTGACAACGCTCTCTTTCAGGTTCTCTATCTTCTTCCCTCGATTCCCAATTTCTCCTTTAATTTCATTCAATACATATTTAGATATCTATTTCGTTTTTAAAAAAGAATTGATTGATAATTGATTTGATTGTTTGATTAGTGAAATTTTCAGTTTGGTCTGCAAATTTAGTGATTAATTTTTTATTCCTTAGGAAATTAAAAAGAAAATTTTAGTCCTCTGGTTAGAAAATTCTCGAATCTGGTTCCATCTCATTATTGAATTCAATTCAAAGCAACAAGATTTGAGTTAAAAATATTTTTTGTAAAAATATCTTAATTAAAGCCTTACTGGAATTGAGTTCAATCGGTCCAATCCTTCAGAGATTTCTCTCTCTGTAAGTGTCTCCTGGCACCAAACATACATCTCATTGTACTGACCAAAAAAAAAATCTTTAGCCCATAAACTACACTTTAGGGGCAAATGATTCTATTTTTCATTTTTTTGGTCTGTTTCTAAATCTAATATTGAGAATATATTGTGATCGATGATCCTTTAGTCTTAGTGTCTGATTATGAATCTTTGATACTCACTTTTGAGTCCTACTGTCGGTTTAGATACTCATTTTTGAGTCGGAGTGTTGATCATGAATCTTAGATACTCGCGACCACACTGTTTTCTGGTAGTGCTTTGGGTTTGTTGTTATATTCTGGATTGGCTTTATTTCTTTTCATGATTGGTTTCTGGCTTTGCGTATAATGCTGAATTGTGAGTGGAATTTTGCTGAGTGGATTGAGTATAGAGTAGATACTTAAAAATTGTTGGATGTTTCCTTCATTTTTTTATTATTATTATTTAATTTTAGACTTTTATGGGCTTTGAGTTGGAATTAGTTTTGTTCGATTAGATTTTAAACCAAATCATAAGTAGATACTTTGAATACACATGGGCAATCACTCACATGCACAAAAGAAATATTTTGTAGTTGCTTTTCTAAAGTAGCTATTACATTTGTATTATACATCTGGCAAAGATAGGAAAATGACGTTTAGACTATTAAAATTGTGGCAAAGAAAAGATAACATGTAATTGGTATGTGAATGGTATATTATAGAGGTAAATTAGCTATTGCTGGTGAATCACTTCCTTCTATACAGAAACGAAAGAAATAAGTGCAAATTAGCTTTGTTGGATATGAATATTGTGGTAAATGTGCCTTTTGGGCTCCTGTCTTTGTAGGATGCCATAAAATTTATGTCTAAGACAAATTTGTTTGGTTTACTATAATGTGAACTTGCCCGATTCTTCTGTTTATTTTGATGGCAAAGTATGCTATTCTTGTTAAAAAAAAGTAAATGCACTAGACAATTAATTCATAGGATTTGAGTTATTATTTACCTCTTCATGGTTCCCTTATTGCATCTTTTGATGCAGTAATTAGATTGCTTGTGCAATTTAAGTGCTTTGATAAAACTTTTAACTAAAGGGTTGATGAGTTAAGTTAAAAGTTGATGATGTACCTTTAAGATTGAAAAATTACTGAGATTTGTATTTATTTCCTTCTTTTTGAAGGTAGGCTAAGCAATATTCGTTCTGTTATTTCTTTTTATTAATTGTACCTATATTTTCACTTGGTTCAGATATCTGAAAAATGTCTGGTCAAAGCCAGCGTTTAAACGTGGTTCCGACTGTTACAATGCTTGGAATCATGAAAGCTCGGCTTGTGGGTGCTACAAGAGGTCATGCACTTCTGAAGAAGAAGAGTGATGCCCTAACTGTACAATTTCGTCAGATTCTTAAGAAGATAGTCTCTACAAAAGAATCAATGGGTGAGATTATGAAAAGCTCTTCGTTTGCCCTAACTGAGGCAAAGTATGTTGCTGGTGAGAACATCAAACACATTGTCCTTGAGAATGTTCAAAATGCTTCTCTTAAAGTTCGGTCCCGACAAGAGAATGTTGCTGGAGTGAAGCTTCCCAGGTTTGAGTATTTCACAGAAGGTGAGACCAAGAATGATCTGACTGGTTTGGCCAGAGGTGGACAACAGGTCCAGCAGTGCCGTGCTGCTTATGTGAAAGCAATTGAGGTTCTAGTTGAGCTTGCTTCTCTTCAGACATCATTCTTAACTCTTGATGAGGCAATCAAGACCACAAATCGTAGGGTTAATGCTTTAGAGAATGTTGTGAAGCCTAGATTGGAGAACACGATAAGTTACATTAAGGGAGAGCTGGATGAGCTTGAAAGGGAGGATTTCTTCAGGTTAAAGAAGATACAAGGTTATAAGAAGAGGGAAATTGAAAGACAGCTTGCTGCTGCCAAGGAGTTCGCTGAGGATAAGTTTGCTGAGAAGGTTTCCTTGCGGAAAGGTGTTTCAATAAATTCAGCTCACAATCTGCTATCTGCAGCCATGGAGAAGGACGAAGATATTATTTTTTGATGAAGTTCGATCCTAGGATTTGTGGGTTTTCTATCTGGTGCTTGTTTGATAGTGGGGAGGGAAGATTCCTTTTATTATTAAGGTGTTGTTCTGAATAAATGTTATATTTCTGTTTCAAGTTATCGTGTATTATTGTTAATGATCAGACATTAACCATTTGGGTTTTTGACAATAGACACTCCATTTCCAAGGCTCTAAGCTATGTTGCTTGAATGGTCTTTTGTCGACTAAACCAGTATATTTTGTGGGGCTGTCGCGGTATGCATATAATATGATATCATTTGCTGTCTTTTAAACAGTGAGTGTTTAGGACTTACAACGTGGTTTAAAAGTCGATTGCTGGAGAACAGTTGCTTTGTCTGAATACAGTGTGCGCAAGCGTGGGCTGTTGGGTGCATTTTATGTTGATTAATTTTCAACATAAAAAAACCTTCTTACCTCTCATGAATTTTTGATCAATTTTGATTTAAAAAATCCCGCTTTTAGATTAGGCTATTTACTCTTAATCCAGAATTGATTTAAATCTAGATTTTAGATTGTCAGCTTTTGATAGAAAACCTCTTTTCGATCAACTATATCACTAATTTGTATTAGCTCTGGTATCTCCTCTCTCAACTATATTTTCCTATTAAAAGCTGATCATCTATAACAGAGTAACAAGAATCCTATATCTATATATAAAATTTGCAGATGTACGGACAACCGCATTTTGCACTCTTTCACTTTTTTTTTTCTTTTTCTGTTTCCTTTTTATATTTTTATATTTTTAATTAGTTCTTTTTATATTTTTGGGATCCACTTATTACCAAAGGAATAATACGTGTTTTTTAAAATTTTTAAGTTTTTTTTTTCTCTATTCTTCTTTTTTTATAAATTTAGTAAATAATTTTTTAAAATTTAATTCTTTTAATGACTCGATTGATATCAAAGGCATGTAACTTGTTAAGTTATTTAATTTTTTTTTCTTTTTTGCTTTTGCTTTTTAATCTTTCTTTGTTTACAATTTTCTTTTTATTTAATAAATATTTTGAAATATTTGAATTTTTTTAATGTTGATCCCATTTGATATTATTATTAAAAATATATTTTGTTGTTATTTTTTTATCTACTGGTATTACGTGCCAACTCTTTTTTTTTTTAATTTTTTTTGCTTTTTGTCATTTCTCCTTTCCTTTTTTAGTTTTTCTATTCTATTCTTTTTTTTCTGTTTTATATTTAATAAATATTTTTAATAGTTTTTTTGTTATGGATGGGGCCAATATTATATTATTTATTAAAATATTTATTATGCTTTTTTATTATTAAAAATTTTTATTAAAAAAATATTAATGTGGTGTCAACGTGATGCATGGATTTGATTTTTTTTCTTGTTTTTCGAGCTTTTTTTAGTTTTATGGTATAAGGAAAAATTGAGAAAGGATACTTTTAATTAATGATATCAAATTGGCTCAAAAAAATTAATAAATATAAAAGGGAAAAAAGGAGAAAAGTAAATTAAAAAGGAAAAAATTAATAAATACAATTTTTTAAAGAAAAGTTCAGCATTTCTGATGTCGTAACTCAACTTTCTCATTTGTTATTTTTTTTATTTTGTCATTTTTTAGTTTTTTTTTTTAAATTTTTGTCTTTTAATTAGATAAATTTTGTTTAAAAAAGTCAACACATTTGTGCAAGTAGTATCCTATTTTTCTTTGTTTTTTTGTAGTTTTTGGTTTTTTGGTTTTTTAGTGAGATAATTTGCAACAAATGTAATCAGTAAATTAATTTCTAAGAAAATATTAATAGAAGTATGGATAATAAAATAATTCGTATATGGTGAATTTCAATTCATCTGAATTCGATAGGTGTGTTCTTTTTTACTTGGGATCGAATTGAGGATTTTTTACAAAAACTCAAGATCGAATCGAAGGTGAGTTTATGATGTTCCGTCTTTACCTTAACTATATTTTTTAAATTATATTTTTAATTATTTATTTAATTTTAGATAATATACTTATATATTATATTAATAAAATTATTTGTTAATATCTTAATTTAATAAAATATTATATTTATATCTAATTAAGATGTAATCTATCCATTTATTATATAAATTTGACTCATTTTAACTCTTATTTAACCTTCAATCGAGGTCCCACGTGCCATTTTTTTTCTTTTTTTTAAAATTTTTTAGATTTTTCTATTTAGATAATTTTGTGAAAAACCAATGCAAGTGTGCATGTGACATCTCAATTTTTTTTTTTAATTAGATAAATTTTACAATAAAAGAAATAATGATAGGAATGGTAAAACAACTTCTATCCAATGAGTCCCCATTCATTTGGAATGTTTAAGTAGTACACAATGAGCTTTTTTTTTTTTTGTTCACTTTTAAATTTTTTTTCTCTTTTTCATTTTTAGTTTTTCATTTTATCTTTTTAATAAAAGTAATAAAAAAAACCTCTGAATATGTCAATTGGTATTCCATTTGAGGTTTTTTAGATTTTTTGTATTTTTAATTAGATACATTTTGTAAAGAAAAGTGCCAATTGATGGATATGCTAAAATAATCTATATCTGACAGGTTTCGATTCATTTCAATCTAATAAGGAGAGATTTTTTAAATTGGGATTAAGTTAAGACAAGTTAAATTTTTTAAAGAAAAATTAAATGAGTCAGAATCATATTTGTGGTGTCTTGTTATAACTCATTTTGAGGTATATAAGAGTATATTTTATTATTATTTAGTTTTATATATATGTTTATATCAATAAAGTAATTTTTTATTTTAATTTGAGAAATTTATATTTTAAGCTGAATATGAGATCTCAATGTAGTAGCCTTTATTGCTATTTTTCTTTCTTTCTTTCTTTTTCTTTTTCTTTTTTTTTTTTCGTTTACCATGATTTTCCCATTTTTATTTTTGTTTTTGTTTTTGGTATTTATTTTTTGATTAATTTTATGAGAAAAGGAGCCAAGTAAGATATCTTCATTTTTTTTCCGTTAGTTAGCAATTAAGATATGGTAAAACAAAAAAAAAAAAAAAAATGACTTGCACAATTTAAAACATGAAATAAAAATGATACAAAAAATGATATGAAAGTAACATGAATTAAAATTTTAACAAAAATCATATATGAGCTTAATAAAAAAAAAAAAAAGTATTTTGTGTTATTCGTATCAACAAAAAATTGGACACGTATTTTTTATATAAAATATAATATAAATACATGATTTCTCTCTATTTATAAAACACAAATACATTAATACACGACGACACCTTCTAGTGAAATTAAATATCGGTTGAGAATTTTCTTTTGTAAATAATGGATATACTTTTTTAGAGGCTTTTATCAACTTTTTTAGTTGTTGAAGATGTAAGAAAATAATTAAGGTATTTCTAATTTTTAATATTATTTTAATTAAATATTTTTATTTAATATTTGATATTTTGTTAGTATAAAATTTTAATTTTATAAATGATGTTAAGAGATTAATACATTTTATTGTTATTTTTAATTAATTTTTTTAAATATACCCAAAAAAATATGTTTTATTTTTTTAATCTCGTTTGTAAAATTTGAAAATTTTAACGCCAATATATTTAATAATTTCTTATTAATTTTTTAAAATAAGTTAACTAATTTTAAGATTTAAAATGAGGATTGGTTTGACGTTTATAAGTATATAAAACTCATCACAAGTTTTTAAATATTTGTTGCATGCTTTTAATGGATCCCGAAACGCTCATTTTTTAAAAATCATCTTAATACTATTTAAACTCATAAAATAAACAACGTTTGTACTGTCAGATTGATAACTGCACGACGAGAGAGCATTTTGGTGTGGTTTGATGTGAGGGCTTTTAAATGCAAAATCAAACTTGTTTCCAACCACCAAACTATCACTTGTAATAATGATAAACTACAAGGCCACAAATCAAATTGAACGGATTTAACTTAAATTGTACCAATGTTCATATTTATCAAAGCAATTGTAGTAATGGGTCTTCATCAGAATATTTTGTAGGGCACGCAGATAAACAAGACGTGTCATGAAAGCACCAAAAGCAGGTATGTAATTGACGAAAATTCGGAGTATATAAAGTCTTAAGAATTCATCAGAGTTAGTGTGCCTTGTCATTTTTCCAGTTCATCAATATTACTAGCTATCTCTTATTCCGCTATGGCTTTCAAAAACCAACTGCATCAATTCACTCATTTGGCCTGAATAATCTTCATAGTCGGTGCTAATTTAGTTTGTGAAGCCACATCCCTCACTTTTCAAGATGCATCGATGCATGAAGGCATGAGCAATGGATGGCTCAATATGGACGAGTATACAATGACAACACGGAGAGGGAGAGACTTTTCAAGATTTTCAAACAAAATGTGGAACGCATAGAATCGTTCAATAATAGTGCCAAAGCCAAACCTTACAAACTCGGTGTCAATCAATTTGCAGATTTTACAAACAAAGAGTTCATTGCTTCTCGGAATAGGTTCAAGGGCCATATGTGTTCCAACAAGGCTACAACTTTCAAATATGAAAATGTCACTTCATTACCTTCTACTTTGGACTGGAGAAAGAAAGCAGCTGTAACACCTATTAAGGACCAAGGCCAATGCGGTAAATTCAAATTTCTTACGGTAAGAAATATTTTTTTTTCGGTTTCAAGGGGAGGGGGCAAAGGCCGATTACAAGGGGGAGGGGCAGAGGCGTGGTTCGACGCCAAGCCATTATGTCTTCCTAAAGGCTCTGTGGCCACTAGGCCATGAAGCGGAAGACTTACGGTAAGAAATATTACCAAAATATTCGTGTCGGTTTTTGGTTTTATGTTCTAACCGTTGATGTAATGTTGAAATACAGGATGTTGTTGGGCATTTTCGGCTGTGGCAGCCATGGAAGGGGTTACTAAAGTAACAACAGGTAAGCTAATTTCCTTGTCTGTCTGAGTAGGAGCTAGTTGACTGTGAAACCAAATGTGAGGATCAAGGCTGTTAGGGTGGTTTAATGGACGTTGCTTTCCAATTCTTCCTAAAAAACAAAGTCCTAACAACTGAATCGGATTACCCCTACACTGGAGCTAATGGCACATGCAACACCAACAAAGAAGCCAACCATGCGGCCAAGATAAATGGATTTGAAGATGTACCCGCCAATAGTGAAGACGCATTACAAAAGGCGGTTGCAAACCAACCAGTTTCTGTT